AACCCAGGTCTTCCTGACCTCAAGTCAGTGCTCTATCCACTACACAATGCTACCTCCCCAAATTCTCCAAACTGTTTCATGCAAATATAGTCATCGATAATTAGATGTGTACTTGTACGTGTAGTGGATAGAGGGCCAGCCTTGAAATCTGGAAGACCTGGGTTTCAGAGAGTGGAAAGCCAAAAGAGACCTTGAGAAACCATCTAGTTCATCCCCATGCCTTCAGGCAAATAAAATAGCCCCCAAGGTAAACACGTATTATGTTGGAGACATCCACTCGTGACTTTGTAATCTCCCTTGATAATACACTCTGGTTTGCTTTACTCTTTTGTTCTTGACTTAAGACACCAAATAAAAATGGGCGCATCCATATATGTAATAGAACAAAAGTGAGACTTATACATCAAGTTACAAATCTCTGTTACAGAGCTGACTTTTCATGTTAAGTATATGAGCAGTTTAACATGTCATTTTCAAAAATTGTTCTACTTGTCCGATTCCTTCTTTCCTCCCTCTGACCTGGGCACGTATTAAAACTACTCCAGTCACCCTCTTTTCTTTCTTTTTGTGTTAGTCTCATTTCCCCTTTCCCTTTCCCTCCCCAGCCCTCCAAAGAGGATCCCTTCTGGTGTTTTCAGCTCCCCCTCCACCTCGAGTCTCTCCCACTGTCTGCACAACCTCAGCTGGGCCCTCACTGCAGCTCGGCAATCCTCCACCTCCCTCATCAGCTCGCTGGCCCACTCCCTAATGACTCTTCCAGACGTTCTCCTTCCTCTGTCCTCTCAGCTGAGAACCTTACCTTAGCCTTCACAGATAAAAATGAGGCCATTTGCCGTGGACTCCCTCTTTCTTCTCTTCTCCCATCTATCTTCCTTCTTCCTCTGTTTCCTTCTTTACTCCTGTCTCACAGGAAGAGGTGACCTTTCTGATCGCTCGACCTGCACAAACCACCCCATTCCAGCCTGCCCCGTCTGGCAGATTGTCCCTCTGCCATCCCTTCTGTCACCTCTGGCTGCTGGCTGCTTCCCTACTTTGTACAAACACACCCCTGGCTCCTCCACTGCATTCTTCTGTTCCCAATAGCTCTTCTGCTTTTGTGACTGAATGTCTCCAAAAGGCCATCTACAGGAGGTGCCTCTGGAACTCAGCTTCTGGCTTCATTCTCTCCAAAGCTGCCAGATCCAATGGCCTTTCCTCAGCCCTTATCCTTCTTGACTTCTCTGAAGCCTCTGACACTACTGATCATCCTTTTCCCCTTGATACTTTCTCCTGGTTCTCCTATCTGACTGTTCCTTCTCAGTCAGCGTAGCTGTATTTACCCACCAACCTGGGATGTCCCTCAGGACTTTGTCCTGGGCCTTCTTTTCTCCCTCTAGACTGCTTCACTTGGTGAGCTTATCAGTTCCATGGATTCAACTATCATCTCTAAGCTGATGGTTTTCAGATCTGCCTATCCCACCCTGACATCTCTGCTGACCCAAAGTCTCTCATCTGCTGCATTTCAGACATCTCCAACTAGATGTCCAGTAGACTTCTCAAACTCAACATGTCCAAAACTGAACTCACCATCTTTCCCCCAGACCCTCCCTTCCATCTGTCTTCCCTATTACTGTAGAGGACAATACCATCCTCCCAGTCTCTGAGGCTCACAACCACGGATTCTGCACTACCTTTCGCCTCCCCCCATATCCAAGCTGTTGCTAAGGCCTAATGATTTCTACCTTTGCAACATCTCTTGAATACACTCCCTTCTCTCCTTTGATTGTGCCACCCCCCTCCCCATCCCGGTGCAGACCCTCATCACCTCATACTTGGACTATTGCAGTAGCTACTGGTGGGTCTGCCTGCCACGAGTCTTTCCCCACTCCACCCCATCCTCTATTCAGCCACCGAAATGATTTACCTAAAACTCAGGTCTGACCACGTCATGCTCTATTTGGTAAACTCCAGTGGCTCCCAACCACGTCCAGTATCAAATACAAAAAGCTCTGTTTGGCATTCAAAGCCCTTCATAATCTAGCCTCCTCCTACCTTTCCAATCTTCTTACACCTTCCTTCTCAACACCTAGTCTTCAATCCAGTGACACCGGCCTCCTGGCTGTTCCCCTCTCCTGGCTCCAGCCATTTTCTCTGGCCATCCTCCATGCCTGTAAGGCTCTCCTCTTGTCCGCCTCCTGACTTCCTTCAAGTCCTAAAATCCCACTTTCTATAATAAACCTTTCCCAGCCACCCCCTTACTTCAAGTTCTTCCCATCTCTTAATTATTTCCTATTTACCAGATGTGTGTGTATCTCATTTATAAATAGTTGTTTGCTTGTTGTCTCTCCTGTTAGATTAGGAACTCCTTGAGAGTGGGGACTGTCTTTTGTCTCCTTTTGTATCCGGAGTGCTTAGCACAGTGCCTGGCACATAGTAGTTTGTAATCAATGTTTATTGCCTGCCTGGCTGTACCAGCCCCATACTTGTAGCCCCAGGTATTGAAAGGGTCAAGGGCTTGCTAGAGAACAGCCTAAATTCAGTCACCAAAAATCACTAGGGGCCAGTCAGCAATAAACAGTGGGCTTGGTCAAATGTAGGTCAAGGCCCTCAAAGTGAACTGAAAGCCAGTGGGACCCAATTCAAATAGACTTCCCATCATACCCAGGACTTTTCAAAATGTGATAGATTCCTTTTATTTTCACATCACTATGTTTCTCAGTGCATCTCTTCCCCCAGCCCCTCTTTTCTTTAAAACAAAGAATAAACAATGGAGCTAGCCTATTGGAAGAGTCGACTATGTCTATAGGCCTCCCCTTCCCCCATTGTCCGGAGTGGAGGTCCCAGGCAGTACTTCAAGAGGAAGTGGAACCACTACTGTGGTGTTCCTAGAGGAGCAGTTCAGGGGGTCTCTGGCTGGCTCCCCAGAAGTTTCTCCCACAATCGTTCAGTGACAAAGAAGGAAGATGTTGCTTCTCTTCATTCCCTCAAGTTGTGTTTTTCCTGTTTCCTTTCATTCCCAGGGCTATCTCTGTTTGCCATACATGGCTTTGCAGCAGCATCACCTTCTCTCTGATGTGACCGTTCGAGGATTTGTTGCTGGGGCAACCAACATTCTTTTTCGGCAACAGAAACACCTCAGTGATGCCATTGTAGAAGTATGTCTTGAGTATGGGGAGCAGAACAAAGAAATGGGGGTTTTGTGGGCAGAAGACAGATGTTGTTGTACCGCCAAGGAGTTTGCATTGAAAGTAACTTCCCCCTAGAGTGGGCATGGAAGTATGGATGATCACCACCAGAATGTCTACCATGCTTGTCTAATTTTTAAAACTTGCTTTCAGCAAAGGTCAGAGTCATTTCCCCACATTTCTAGTTTAAAACACTGGTTCTCTTGTGGTTTAAAAAAGGTAGAAGCCAGAAATACATACTCTACCTTATTTTTTGTGAGTACCTCAGTGATAAGATGTAACTCATTGGTTACATTGAAATAGTTGTGGCTAGATTGTTTGGGACCACTGTAAGATGTGTGGTTTGGGGTTGGGAGGGGTGACAGAATTATACCTCAATGGAGTCCCGGTGAGTTTAGAAGTGACAGAAAATTTTTTAAAATTTAAGTTTAGAGGGAGTCTGAATTTATATTTAAAGGGTGACCTCCCTTGTTTGGGAGGCAGTATGGTGCTAAGGGAACTTGGAGCCCTAAGACCCGAGTTCATTCTGGTTGTATAACTTGTCTGGGCCTCTGGAACCCTTCTAGCTCCAAATCTATGGCCTGTGAGCTTTTCTTTTCGATCAAGAGTTGCTCACCTTTTCTGTGTCAGAGACCCCTTTGTGGACCCCTTCTCAGAATCAGGTGTTTAAATAATTGAAGGAAAGGCTCAATTTCAGTTAGAGGGTTCCCCCCCATCCAAATTCATGGACCCCCTGAAATCTCTCCATGGACTTTTGGGGGTTCATAGGCCCCAGAATAAGAAGGCCTATTTTAGACTCTCATTTTGGTTCTACAGTATATGACATCCCCAAACGATGATACACATGCCCATACCTCGTAGGTGGAAGAAGCGGTCGTTCACATCCATGACCCAGAACTGAGGAAGATTCTGAGCCCGACCACCGCTGACCTGAGGTTTGCCGACGATCTGGTGAAGCACGTGGCTGAGAACAGAGATGACGTGTTCCTGGACGGGACAGGTTGGGAGGGAGGGGATGAGTGGATTCGAGCACAGTTTGCGGTCTATGTGCACGCCCTGCTCGCGGCCTCGCTGCAGTTAGGTAAGAGTCTGGCCAGTTGGAGCCCCTTCACAGAGGGGGCAGAGAGTACACCCTGTCAAACTGAGCTTGAGCTTATAATCCAGGGCACCTCTAATTACACTGTACAGCTTGACATAAAGCACAACATAAGAAATATTTTAAAAATAGAATAATAAAAATTACTTATTATGATTAAATAAATTATATTAATTATATATTTAATTATTACATGAATATGTAGAATTATTTATAAATAAAATTAAAAAAAATAAAGCAAAAATTTAAAAAGGAAAAAAAACCAAACCATAGTTCAGTCATTCCTATCTGGGCAGTGAGATGTCTTGCCCGCACTCAGAGACAGGCCCCCTAGAAGAATGCCAAAGAGCTCCCAGAGGTTTTCTGGGCCACCGCCCGCCCCCCCAGGCCTGCCGCGTGGACCTGCACTGCATCACTCTTTGGCAGTTCTCAGGTCACTCCCTCGTTTTCCGTTTTGTGAGAAGGCCGAGTGTCAGGGATCGCCGCCCACTACTGTAATATGTGTACCGTGCATGGTCGAGCAGAGGGCCACGCATCGGCACCCCAGACTCTGGGCGATGCTGGCAAGCCCCTCCCATCTGGGAGACTCGGTGTTGTTTCACCTTTCTAGGTGAGGAAGCCGAGGTGCGGAAAGATCAGTTGAGCGCCCTGGAATCAGTGCCCTCTGACAAAATACAATGTCCAGCCTTAGACTCCTGCAGAGTTCTTCCCGTCTCGCCGCATGGCCTCCTGAGGAATCGTTGCTTTTCCTTGATAAGGAATTGTCTTAACATTGGGGCTGTTGGCGGTGGAATCTGACTCGTCCTAGACAGTGCCTTGAGGAACCCTCCCCGTCTTTGCCCTCGGCCCTCACCAACGTTCCTTTCCCCTTGTACCTTCGGTAACAGCGGTCCTTGCAGGCTTCCCGTCAGCGAGGGCCACCCGAAGGCTCTCCACATGACTGAGAAAATGGAATCGGGTTTTTAGGCCTGAAATGTGGGCAACGTCCTCGGTCTTAGCCACGTTGGCTCCTGTGTGTGGGAACCATCGGTCATCCTCCGATCCCGAAGGAGGGTGTGAGGACTTCCAAGTCCCGTCCAGATTCTTAGTTACAGAGCTCAGTTGTCAGTCCTCTAACTGAAATGATTTTTAATAAAACTCTTTCCTTTGAAAAACGGTCCTGGTGATGAGAAGGGGGCGGGGGCGAGGGGGAGGGCAGTTCTTTGGGTGGTGTTTGCCCCCTCCCTGTCTGGAAGCCCTTCAGCCCACATCAGCTGTTTCTTTGGCAGATAATGAAAAGATGCTGTCGGACTACGGGACAGCCTTTGTCGCGGCCTGGAAGAGCACACACAATTACAGGGTCTGGAACAGCTCCCGACACCCGGCTCTGGCAGAAATGAACCCAAAGTAAGGAGACTGGTGGGGACAGGGGCGGAGGGCCCTCCAGGAAGCCCCTCCACCGCGTCTGCCGCCCTCCAGGCCGGCTCCTGCCCCGCCGGCCTCCCCCGCGTGGGGGAGGCTGTCCTCACGCGGTCCAGGGGCGCCCACGGCCTCTCCCGGGTGCTGTGTCGGTGCTTCCTCGCTTGTTCTCTCTGGGTCCCTACCTGACTCCTCTGCCTCTTCTTTTTCCTTAGTTGTCACACCTAGCGTGCCCCTGTCCTTGCTGGGATTCCTCTTCCTGCTAGTGGCACAGATGTCACAGCTCCCCTCTGAGCCTTTGCCCTGGCCGTCCCCTCCTTGCCTTCGCCTCTGAAGATCCCTGGCTGGAATGTTGCCTTCCCCAGAAGCCTGTCCTCCTCCCCCTGTGAGGCTGCCAGATTGGCTTTGCAGTTAGACTATCAGCTCCCTGAAGGCACGGACTGTGTTTGCTTTTTCTTTGTATCTCCGGTGCTTGGCCCTGGGCCTGGCACATAGCAAGCACTTTGTAAATCTTTACTGATTGAAGAAATCATACGCCACCAGTAAATATTGGCATTAACAACAGACTTCTTCCTGGGAGAAATCTGAAATCAATAAAAGGATTTTGCAGTTTCCCAAAAACAGTCCAACTTGCCCTCCTCGTTTTGGTTAATTCTGGGGCCAACTCCTTCTCTGTTTGTAGTATCCAAGGGCTGTGTGCGTATGTGAACACACACTGATGGACAAGTGCATATCAGAATCTGGACAGTGGCCCAGTTCTTCATCCACTTGGTTTTCTGTGTGGATAGTTAGGTTTCTGCATCTTGCCTGGAAGCCCTCCCAGTGTTCTGGGGGATCACAAATAGGAGCCTGGGGGGCCCCGCCCCCTCCACAGGGGAGCTCACTTTCCTTGGGACTCTGAGCCAGAGTTCCTCCTTCGAGTAGATGGCCGAGGATAGAGGCACAAACTGACTGATGTGATGTCCAACCCTGACCTTGGGCTTCGTGATCAAACCACATGCTCTCGCTGCGTGATCTCATGTGTGGCCCTAAGGTGGGTGGGAGAGCCTTCTGCTCAGCCCACCCAGCTTCCATCCCCTTCTACACCCCCACCTAGTTCAAAAACTTTGAGTGGCCGTCAAGTCCAGTCTGCAGTCCTGGATCTGGCACTCGTGGCCCTGTACCATACGGTTTTATCGCGCCCTAATCCTGTGTAATCCAGCAGGTGGTGATGCAGCGCATAGAGTGCCGGGCCTGGAGTCAGGAAAGCCCGAGTTCAAATCCATCCTCAGACGCTTCCAAGCTAGGTGACCCTGGGCGGGTCACTTCACTTCTATTTCCTTCAGTCTCCTCAGCTGTAAAATGGGGATAATCATAGCACCAGCCTCCCAAGGCTGTGGTGAGGGTCAGTTAAAATAATATTTGTAAAAAGAGTTAGCGCAGTGCCTAGAACACGGTTGGGTGCTAAGTAAACGCTCATTCCCTCCCTTCCCAGGCAGCTTGGGCTCACACCATAGCAGCGCCATGCGTGAGCACCCTCCAGTCTCTGTTCCTTAAATCCTTGCCGTTTTTCAGGGCAGAGCCTGGCTCTGTGTGAAGCCTTTTCTCATTCCCCAGGTCTCTGGTCCCTTCTTGGGGGCTTGGCAGATTCTCACTTGTGCTGTTGTGCTTAATGCTCTCTGCCCTGTCTTCCCATTAGCTGACCAGATCCCAGAAGGCAGGGCCCATAGGCCTGGCCATGGCCCCCGTGGCACCTTGCACCCAGGAGGTGCCTCGTGGGCGGAACAGTAAAAATTGTTCTGCTTTGTTTTGCAGCCATCCCTTCCAGGGCCAGTACTCGGTGTCGGACGTGAAGTTGAGATTCTCCCAGTGAGTATCGAGGCTGGATGGTGCTGGGGAAGCCCCGGGGGCCCAGTGATACTGGCTGGTTTCAGGGGGTGTAAATGCCTTGTGGAGGCAGCCCGGTCTCCAGTACCCCTACCCTGGTCCCCAGGGGAGGGGGTGAAAGCTTCTTTTGGAAAAGTAACTTTAGCTGGGGGTGAATGTTCCCACCGACACAGGGCCTGGAGGCAGCAGACCTGGTTGGAGCATTGGGTCTGCCCTTTGCAAGTTCCCAGTTGTGGGCGAGTCACAGATTCCCAGAGCCTCATTGTCCACATCTCTAAAATGGGAATAGTGACAGCTCTGCTCTCGGGAGGGGCCGTCGTGTGCCATCCTCATCCACGGCCCCGTCCGCGCGGTCTCCTGCTTTGTCTCTTCTGTGCGTGCACCAGTGACGTCATGGGGTGGTAGCAGGTGGGTGGTGGCTTTCTGGGAGTGCCCTGTTAACATCTGTGACTTCTCCTACCCAGCTCTGTCCAGAATAGCGAACGCGGAAAAAAGCTCGGAAATGCCATGGTCACGACAAGCCGGAACGTTGTACAAACCGGAAAAGCCGTGGGTAAGGCGCACCTCTGGTCTGGAGCCCCAGGCTCTAAAACTCGTTTCCACGTGGCCAGACTGAGCCTAACAAGACCCCCACAAAGCTCATTCCCTGCAGGCAGGTCAGCAAACTAACAGAAAAGAGGACTGTCCCCAGAGCCTTCCTACGCTTCCCACATTTTTATTGTATTTTCAGAGAAAGGGAGGCTGCTTGCTTTTACAAGTTAACATCAGTGTGGTTCCCCAAATGTGCCCCTTTCCTGTATTTAAACTTCTCCTACTTCATCACTGACCCGGGAGAGAGCTCTCGGGCCTCCTTTCCTCAGACAAGACATTAGCCGTCCCCTGCCTGTGTTGATTGTGTGCCATGCACAGTTCCATGCCCAATGTGCCCTGTCACCAACCACCAGCTTTTCAGGAGAACATTGTTTAAAGTAGGGACTGCCATTTGCAGCAGTGATTCCTGGAACATCCCATTTAGAATTAGCAGGTCAGGGTAAGTTCATTACTCCAGCGGTGGGAATACCCTTGTCTCCCTAAGGCACCAAGGTAGTGTCCTGGACTACCCAGCATCAATTATCACCTCACTCTTGGAGATGCTGATCAGAAAGGCCAGAAAGCCCAGAACTCACTCAAGTGCCTGCCCCGCTTTGTTCGCTCGCACCACGTCGTCTTTTCTGTACACCCTGGGAGCTCATTGTATCCGAGGACGGCCAAAGCTGGAACGTAGTGATGGGCTCGGATGGTTCATTAGGGACCTGCTTTCTGCTCAGAATTGGCCAAATCCAGTATATGTTAAGAGCTGCTTCGTGCCGCAAACATGGTGACAGTCATTGTGTTTCAAATGCCTGATGTGACACTTTGTGTCCTGTGGACATTCAGTGCCGTGTTGAACTGTGGAAGATTCAGAAAGCCTAGGAAGTAAGACCCTTAAAAGTCTTTTGCTAAGAAATCAATTAACCAGCTACTTGTCCATAATATGCCTATGAGATGTAGGTATTTTGAAATTAGAAATTATCCTGGTATTTTTTCATTAGTATTGATATTAGTCATTTCTAGTCATTTAGCAGATGGGATCTTCACCTTCTTTTCTGGGGAATCTGAGAATTTGGATGAGGAAAAAAAAATGCCTCATTTTCACTCATCTCTAAATGAAATCTTAAATTTCATTTCATATTGCCTTCAATTATTTGCAAACATTCTTAGGAGAGGTCCATAGGTTTCACCAGACTACCTAAAGGACCCATTATACAGAAAGGTAAGAAGCCCTGATTTAACATAGGCCAGTAAATGCCGATTCTTCCATTCCTACTACTCACCTCCATCTACCTGAACTTTTGAAATTCAGGCAACTGGTGAATGCTTTTTCTTCTAACAAAATTAAGACTTTTTTCCCCTCCTTCCATATCCAGGCCAGTCCGTTGGTGGAGCTCTGTCCAGTGCGAAGACAGCTATGTCCTTATGGCTCTCCACTTTGACCCAGTCAACCACACAAGGTCTCACAGACCCACCAGATGGGAAACAGTGAGTGTGGTGGTCAGAGCCTGCTGGGAGATTGGATCTTTCTGCTGCCTTTGGGTCACTGGGTCCACGTGAAGGGAAACCAATGCGCTGTACTGTTCACCGGCCGAATATTGGAAACGTTTGCTCTCTGTATATTTTTAAAATAATATATGTGAGAGTGTGAGTGAATGTAGCCTAATTTGGAAGCATAAAAGAATGACCATTATGAGGTTGCTATCTAGAATGTGTGTCTAAATTGACTACTTTTATTTAAATCTGAGCCTTTCTAATTGGACCATGTGATGGTTTTGATTTTCTGATTTTGTACATTTATTTGTCTATAGAAGTTTATGTAAATTATAGTTATGTTTTATCTTTTGGATAGACAAATGCATATTATAATTTGTTCATTAAAAATAACATCATATATTGATTCCTCTCAAATTGGGCCCACAAATGTTACCTGGCCCTTGGCTTTATAAGTTTTGAGCCCTTTGCTGTTGGGTTTTGTTTTTCTTACTTTATTCTATTCTAAATTAATTTAAGCAGAGGTATAGATTCATCATTACATGACAAGGGTATGAATCTGTTGTTGTTTTCCTGCTCTCAGTTTCCCTTCCCCCAATTCAATTACACCTACCCATTTGCAACTCAAAGATGATGGTGGAAAATGGTGAGGTTTTTAAAGTTAATCATCTAATCCCTGAAAACTTCTTCTATCCCTGATGTCCTTCCCAGCCTGGCCCTGCCCTCCTTCCTTTACCTAATTCAGTCCCAGAAAGTAAGAAGGGCAGGGTTGCATTTGATCTGGGAGATATTTTTCAAGATGGCTGCTGTTTGTGTCTTCCCGGCCCTGGCCCTGTTAAAATCTTCTGCGTCCACGTATGGATATCTGAACTCGGCGCCTTCCGGGCCCTTCCTTGGCACATTTTGTCTGGTAGGGTTTTCCCCCAGGATTTTTGTTCTTCACACAGGTGCCTGGCCTTTCTCCCTTCCCAACTGAAAGTCGTTCTCCTTTTCAATTGTTTCCTCCTTAACATGTTCTTAGAAGAAAAGCAAAAAGCTCAATGTAAAAGAGGAGTGCCATTCCAGTGCAAATTTGAATGATATTGATGTTCAAGGGAAGATAGCAAAGCCGGGGGTAGAAGGGAAGGTCCCCGGCCTCTCACTAATTGGGCCTGCTGTCAGGTTGTGCAGAGGTATGTGTGATGCTATACTTGCCCCTAAAGGCTTTTACATCACCTTGTCTGCTTTCCGACTAGCCAGAGGGGCTCTAGGAGAAGGGTTTTCAGGGACCAGGTCTAGTGGACAAGTCGCCTTCCTCATGTCGACATTTTAGTAAAACATCCTGCTTGTCTGTAGTACTACACTAAACATGTCGTGAGATCGTGCTTTCCCAGCCCTCTGTTGAAAAGTCATTGGATTTTTCAGTTCCTCAGCGGGAGATTCTCTTGTGTGGAGCCCGTCTCTCAAGGAGGCTAGACTCACGTTGCCCTCTCAGACACGCGATAACTGTGTCCTGTGCAGGCCACACTGCTTCCTGGACACTCCATCAAGACCAGGGACGTTCTTCCTGCCCCTCATATACTTGGTTACAGGGAGAGACCCCAGGTGTGAGGATGACGACTGGTGAAGGGAATGGCAGCCTCCCAGCCTCTGTCTTGTCTCCTCCTTGCATTGAGGGACGGTCTCTTATCTGCAGTGACTGTGTGTGTGTGTGTGTGTGTGTGTGTGTGTGTGTGTGTATTTATGGGGATGAATCTTAGCTCTGCCATAGTGTGACTTCTTGATTGGAATATGTACCTCAGAGGAACTTTCCGTTAGTATTTCAGTGAGGATAGGTCCAGGTCTTTTAAGAAAAGACCATAACTGAACATGAGTCACGAACAGAGAAGGAGGTGCTGTGCCGAATGGAGACAGTAGCTTTGCTCTTGAATGACTTGTTTCCTCATCAGGCTTCCACGTACCTTAAGAGAGGAGAGTTTTAACACAAGCAGATACAGCTCAGGATCTAGTTTCCGAGTGAAGATCTTGCCTGTATCGTTTCACTCCTGGTCTAGGAAAACTAAAAAGCCATTTTTCCTGTAGCTCTGAAGATCTAGCAGGGAGCCAGCACAGGGGCCAGTGGCTGGCTCAGGGCCCAGCTTGCAGGTGTATTGCCAGCATAGAACTCTCCCCTCACTCCCTGGCCATCTTTTTGACACTTGTTTGAGGGCATGTGTTGCAGACCTGGCCAGAAGTACGTAGAGATTGTGGATTTTGAGGAGAGCTCATGAAATGAGCCTTTGCCTCCTCCTCCAACCATTGAACATGGATGCACACCCTTTCTCCATCTGTAGTCTGTCCAGATAGGTGATGCTGTTGGGACAGTCTGCGTCATTCCAAATCAAGCCCTAAGTAGCAAGTGTTTACGTTGACTGGCACACTGGTTAGGAGAGACCATCCAGTGAGTGCCACACCTTCAAAAGGAAGATATTTGACAGTCAAATTAAGGCTGATTATAATTGTGTAGAATCCACAATTCCCCCCCAAAAAAAATCCTGTATCATGTGTGTGTCTATATGTTCAGTATAATAACTTTGCTCCCCCCAAGCCCATCTAATGGGTGATGTGCCAGTCCCTCAGACTAACTGACATCCTCCTGCTTTAAAAAAGCCTTCTTTAAAGCAATACCCATCCTGCCATGATGTGCTTTGAAGGTAAACTGAGCCCAGGATTCTGTATTTTCTCAAGGAAACCAGTGTTTATAACCATTCCCGTGATATTTATCTTGTGTGACTTCAAAGCGGGGAGCGAGGTTGGAGAACAAGGTTTATAGATGCCTGGGTCAGAGTCCACTGAGACCAGTATTTAATCGTCTAGCAGGGTTCTTTTGGAGGGAAGCTGGGCATTATCAGTGAATGATCTGAGTGTTTCAGGTTCCGAATGAAGAGAGACTGTCCTCTAGGAGTAGATAGGAGTCTGTCTGGAGAGCTCTTGGGGCTGGTTTGTATTAAGCAGGGCTTGGCGCTTTTAGCCATAGTTGCTTTTCTTCAGGCACCCTGCATTACTGAGGCTGCTGGAGCTGGGAAACCAAGTGCTTAATTATTGTCGAGTTTGGGGGCTAAGCATGCTGGCCCTGGATCTTTGGGGATCTCTTGTCCCAGAGACTTGTAAGGAAACTGGACTTTGTGGGGCTAATGTAGCGTAGAATCTAATGACTTCATCAGTGGGAAATTGCAGAGGGAAAGGGGGCGACAGTAGCCCTACCATCCCCTCACCCCTCCCTCACTTGGGGGTTTCAATCTTCACTTCCTATTTGGCTTCATAGGATTTGGGGCAGAGGCCTGCTTTTGGGGTATCCTAACCCTTTGACCCACCACACTCTGTCCTTCTACCCAGTCCTCTTGGGACAGACACTTGAGTAGACCAGCAGTGTCTCCCAACACATGTAGCCTCAAAATCTCATGCAAAGCTTGATCCCAGCATCCAGCCAGTTACTGGAGGAATCCTTCTATGTAGCATAATGTAGGAATGGGAGTTTTCTCATTCAAAATCTCCTTACGTATGTGATCTCGAAAGGTTCTTTTCCCAACGTTCAACCTTCTATAAATATTCCTTAAGGACAGTGAAGAGAAATAAAGATCTGGTCTTCTCGATAGGCTAGTAGTTGTGTTTTACAAGTGACTTACTGATAGCATCATGATGCAAAGTTTCCATCTCTGCTCCCAAACAAGATAGCGTGCATGCCCAGAAACTGGTCTGTTTTCTAAAATGTCAGTGCATTTATATTTTGCAGCACCTCTTTCAAATTTGCTTTTTTCCTTATTGGTTAAAGACGGGAGACTCGATACTGAGATCATGTTAGTGGGGCTTGCTTTACCTAGTTCCTTTCCACTTCTCACTGGCCACTGACCTCTCACATGTATCGTGAGCTTCTCAGAATATTTTTTTACTGCAGGGTTTCACTGTGATGGCGGGGTGGCAAAATGTGATTGAATTTCTCAGAAGGCTTCCATGTTTGAAGGGCCATTTTACGTTGTTTTCTTGAAATGTTTCAATATTTTACAGCTGGACCAATCATATTAAAAAATCAGACTGTCAATGTTTGTGCCACCCTGGCTGTTTGTGCCTGAGTTCCAGAAGTGTTTCATTACAGGGAAGATGAATTCTTTTAGCGGTCTTCAGACGACTTTAATATTGGAAACTAAAAACCGGCCACCGCCTGAGCAAGGAGGTCAGATGTGAAGTGGCCATGGGTGTGTGAGGCAGTCTCCCTTAAGTGTGAGCTTTCTCATTTGAGCTGTATGATTGTAAAAACACCTTGGGTCTGTAAATCCTATTGTCCAATTATGCTGAAGTGTAAAGCACTGTTCTTTCAAAAAGAAGAAAATGAGAATAAAATTGTGCTGCTGCAGCCCTGCCCCTCCACGGCGCACTTGGCTCTCCTCCTTCCGGCCAGAGCTACCTTGGCGCTCTTCCCGACAAGCCTGTTTCCAGGGACCAGCGGAGAGGATGCGTGAATGGGGAGCGGGAGCTCTTCCTCCGTTGTCTGCTTTTGGCAAAGGGCTCACTCGTGTTTCCGTTACTTCTAGAGAAGCCTGACGAAGCTGGGGAGCGGCCAGATGCAGCGTGCGTGGGTGAAGGGAGGGGATCATGAGAACAGGGAGGCACAAGATGGGACGCGGGGCCCACTCTCCCCAGGATGCCCCGTCCACCCCCTTTCTGTGCTCAGCCCCAGTAGTCTCAGGCCCGTTTGGTGACTGAGGGCCCGTCGACATCCTTATCAGAGCTGCTGGCAGAGCGGCTTTTAATTCCATTTTGTGTTCTGCCTTGCCTTCTCTAACTAAGGGCAGCCCCTCCGTGAGGCAGGAAGCTCGGTGCCCTTCAGACTCCGGCTGAGCTGGGTGCCCCCTGCCCCATTCCCCCTCATCTGGAGGCACCGGGATGCTGCACTCTGGCAAGGGAAGTTCTCCAAGCTCCCCGCCCCCACGCCGATTTTCCGGCCAGCCTAGCAAGCTGCTGTTCTCCCCTCTGCCTGCCCTCCCCACCCTGCTGCCTTTGTTAACTGGGCTGTATTGCACGTTAAAAAGTAAGCATTTATTCGGGTGTCCTGTGTCCCCTAAGTGCCCCTCCTTGTCCTGGCAGCCTCTGGGGCCTGACCTCAGCCATCTACCCCTCCTCCTATCTTTGAACTGAACCCCTGGATGTGATGGGTTCCTGCCACCCCTTCCTGATTCTGGGGGGCAATGTTGATGGGTGGGCTGAGGGTTGGACGCCTGGGGCCCCTTCTGGGATGGCAGGCTGAGGTGGGTGGGTGAGGGAAGGCTGCTTTTGGTAGGTTTGAGGCCGTGTCTTGCTAGAGAGGAAAAGCCTGTGTGGGGGAAGGGGTGGGGGGGAGCGGTGCTCGCTGTAGGGATAAGCTCCAGGAGGCAGAAACCAGGGCCTTCCCCCTCAGTTGAGCCTCTCTTTTGAAAATCCCATTTGATTCACAGCCCAGACCATCCCCCCTCTTCCTGAGGAGCCTGCAGGCACCCAGGAGGGGGAAAGCATTCCAGGCAGAGGGGGAGGGGGAGGGAATTCCCCTTCTGGAGGCACAGCCCGAGGACAAAAGGACACCAGCCTCCCCGGGCTCTGGGCTCCAGGAGGGGGCTGGCAGCCACCCCCCAGCCACAGGCTTTTGCATTGAAACACACCGTTCTTGTATGGTGAGGTTTTTTGTCCCCGGCCAAGGAGAGAGAGGAGGGTGGACATTACTTTGCTTTCTTCTTTGTTTTGTTGCAGTTGGTGTTTCTAAAGAGCTGGCTCTTTACATTTCAAGAGCTTTACCAAGAATAAAAATTAGATTCGTCTATGAAAAAAAAGTCTCTTTCTTCTGTCCATGCCAGAGCTGCTGTGTGGGGAGGAGGCATTCTCCCGTTCCCTCTCCAAACAAGCCCTGGGCCCATGAACTTGGGGTACACACACACACACACAGACACACACACAACTGGATTTCAATTTAATTGGTTTCCTTTGTAATTCTGTTTTTCATTTTGTGCATTTGAAAACATTCCAAGAAGGAATGCATAGACTTCATGGGACTGCCCTGGGAGGTCCATGACAAAAGAAGGTTTAAGGAGTCCCAGTTGGAGAATGGGAATGCTAAATCCTTCTTAAGATTCCCTCTAAAAAGCCCCTTTTACCTGTTCCCACCCACTTCTCCCCTGGCTCTGCCCAAAAGCTGACAATTTTGATTAACAATTTTGATGGTCAAATGAAAGGTAACGGATGTCAAGCTCTTTGTAAACCTTCCAGTGTTATATAAATGTTAGCCATTATTAAGAGACAGGGGGGTTACAAGGGGGACTGGGGGGTTACAAGCCCCTCTCCTCCCTGGCCGCCCCTCCCTCCTCCACGGCTTAGCTCGGGACTCAAACCTTCCCCTGGCATTTGCTTTGGAGGAACGAATCTCACTGTTCCCATGGCAACCACCATGGCTAGAGTGGGCCTCACCATCTTCAAACAATATAATACCCGCTAGCATTTATATAGTACTCTAAGGTTTACCCAGTGCTTTACAATCTCATTTTGAGCCTCGCAACAACCCTATGAGGTGGGGGCTATTGTTTTTACACAAGGAAACTGAGGCTGAGGGCAGTTACGTTATTTGCCAAGAGTCACTCAGCTAGTGTCTCAGGTCAGATTTGAACTCGGGGGTCTTCCATATTCCAGTTGCCTCTACAGAGGCACTCCTGCCTTTGTATTGAGTAGGAAATTTTAAAATTCCCTTATGATAAAAACAAAAAGTAGTGAAGTTATAAAAACGTTCAGTGCATTTGACCAAGCCAACTCATTTCCTAAGTGCCCCCAACATTTTTCCAACCTTGCAGTCAGCGTACTACTCTTACGCCTCACCCAGAACTGAAGGCAGCCCTGGGTTCTCAGGCCATGCCAGTGGAGAGAGTACCACTTTGTGGGGCAGGGGGCTTCCCAAGCTGGAAAGGCTTCTAGCCTGGGTTTTGTAACAGTCCTGGAGGTGACAAACTCAGTGAGTTTGGGAAGGCTTGTCACCTTTGGTGATGTGATGGTGGACTGTGCCCACACTCTTGAACTCAATAGATTGCCAAAGTATGAAAGAGGCTGTTAGCTGCGGGCATGGTGAAGAGAGTGCCACATCTGGAGTCAGGAAAAACACCTGAGTTCAAACTCACCCCCATACACCTTGGCTTTGTAACCCAGGACAAGTCACTTCACCTGTCTGCCTTGGTTTCCCCACATATGAAATGAGGATAGTAATAGCACCCACTCCCAGGGTTATGGCCAGGATAAAATGTAATAAAATTTGTAAAAAGTGCTTGGAAAACCTTAAAGTGTTCTGTAAATGCTAATATATCCATCTGTCTTACTATTCTTATGGATGGTGAGCCACACCATCTACCTATCTAACTACCTATCTATCTATCTATCTCTCTCTGATTATCCTTATGGATGGTGGGTGAGCCACACTGCCACACGCACAGCACAACTGTGTTCATCAATAGCACCAGAGTCTTCTTCACTGAGGCCAAATGGCCCATGTTGAATTGGATTTCCTTGACTTGAGTCAAAATAAAGAACAGCAGCAGGCAAATGATGTGAGATAAACTAAATCATCTCATCTGTCCCTCAACAGTCTTGTGAAATACAATCTGTGGGTGGTGGTATTATAATCCCCATCTTACAGGCAAGGAAACAGAGGCAGACAGGGGTTAAGTGAGTTTCTCACAGTCACACAAGCTAACAGGTGTCACAGGCAGCTGTGAACCCATACTGCCTTTCATGATTCAGACTGTTGATTACCTTGGATCAAACGACCGGGAATATCCTGAAGGAGCAGATGTCAGGACAAGGAGAATGGGGAGGATGAGAGCACATTCAGGCTCTGTGGTCTCGATCTCCCCAGGAAGCAGTGGCTATGGGCAGGGTGACATAAAGGCACAGCCACAAAGTTTGGCAAAATCCCTGCCCTCCTCATGTAGTTCTGATCCAGACAGGGAGTCACACACACAGAGAAACAAAACAATACATACTCTGTGCTTTATCACTCTATTTTGCAAATGCCGTGGAAAAAACAGGCCATCACTGATGAGGTGTTGAAGTGGAGAGATCATGCAAAAGGCAGCATTTTAGGGGGTCTCCAAAAAGCCTACCCTCCCAGACATCCTGATCTCTATCTGGCCGCTGGACCCATATGGCTCCAGGGGAGAGAGTGAGGCTGGTGACTTTGCATAGCCCTGCCTCGCTTCAATCCAATTCGCTTAACTTCCCAATGTCACGGTCCTCTTCGAGGACTAAGGACGAACAAGAACCCTAGCAAGTCCTGAGATCGTGGGTTTTGAGGAGCACAAGGACAGGTACGCCTCACCATTCCTGCAAGATTTTCAGCCTTGGTCCATCCAGTGCCTGTTATGTGAGGACCAGCTGAACTAAAACGACAAAGGTGTGTGACCAGAGATGCTAGTAACCAAGGAATGCACTTCTTTGGCCACCAAGATGCGGAAGGGGAGGTCACAACCAAACCAAAGAAACCATCTGTCCTCCAAGGTACCTAAAGGATGGGTGGGACTGTTCAGCTGATGAAGGACTTCCAGGCTCAGGAAAGCCTACCAGCAGAAGCACACATCTATTGGAGAAAGACTGTTATAGAATCACAGTCAGATAGGACCTGGGTTATCTATCCCAACTCATAACTGAAGACATCCTGGCAACCCTGGCAAGTGGCCACAGATGGGGCCTTCACCACGCATTCACTCAATCTCCTGCAGTCTGGCTTCTGTCCCCCCATACTACAGAAACTCCTCCCTCCAAGGTTGCCAGGGATGATCAAATGATCAAATCCAAAGGCCTTTATTCACTACTTATACACTTTTAGCTTTTGAAAATACTGGATGCTCCTGACCACCTTTGTCACCATAATTATGCTCTTCCGACCCTTGTTCCCTTCTTACCTGTCTGTCTATTCCTCAGTCTCCTCTTCTGCTCGGTCTTTCTTCTCCTACCCCCTGAGTAGGGGTATTACTTTCAAGGCTTTGACCCCATAGAATCAAAGACTTAGAGTGAGAAGGCATCTCAGAGGTCATTGAT